TTATTTTGAAATACTATTTCTTTAAGTGGATCAACCTGACCATGACTTTAGCTCTATAGATCAATCAGGCCTTGAACTTGTGGCCCTCCTGTCTCCGCTTCCCAAGTAGCTGGGATTATGGAATTATGATATCACCCCCAATTTTTGGAGTATTTAAAATGAACATCAGACTACATAAGTTTTCTACTTAGAGTCATTAAGTATTTCTTCATCTCACCAATATAATGTTCTAACTTCTTATATTTCCCCATTCTTTTCATAGCCTTGCTTTTGGTTCTTTCTTAAGTTCTTTCTATTCTTTTCTATGCTTTGTTCGTTCTTGAATATTTTGTCAACATGTAATATATTGTTTCATTGTTATGAAGGAAATTGGTCTGAAAATGGGTCATGCATTTATATGTATGTTTATGTTTTGCATTTAAAAATATAATTCTTGTTTGAGTTTGAGCTTGATTGCCTCATATATTTCAATTTTTTCCCTATAACCTCAGGATCTAAAAGAGCCCAAGTTACCAAAAGGAAATAATATACAGGAAACATACATATTTTTTAATATGGAGCTTGAAACTTTTGAAGTTCTTGTCACACTTAAATGATGAGCTACAGTTCTTAGGAAAGAACAATAAAAACTGCTAGAGGACCAAGAAGGACTTCACAACACAGTAAACTTTTCTACATAAATGACATTCTGAAAAAATTTAATATCTGAGGAGCTAAGTGATGTTTGTCCAGGTAGTATGTTCTGTGAGTTATGAAGCAGATAGGTAATATGGCAGCAGTTCCTGGGCTTTTGTTCCTTGCGTCTGTTTGGTTTCTAGATGACCATTCAGGTTATATATTTTGCATTGAGAATATGGTTAATTTTTACATGAACATGAGACAGTATATTTCTAGGTATTGTTGGATTTGATGTCAACCATGAAGGCCCCCAACTAACAGCCAGTCTAGAGGAAGTGATATTGGCGCGTCAAAGTGCAATTTGTCCAAGCTAGTGTGACCACATTTCTATTTAGGTGACACTGCTAAACCAGTGATTACCAGCACTTGGAGGAGGATTTGGAATTGGATGTGGTGTACAAGTCTCTAAGAGAAGGTTATGCTTTAACTGATGGAAAGGGACAATGTGAGGAGTACAGAATGTTGCTGCAATCTGGCTCTAATAAAGTCTTATAGGGGACCAAAAAAAAAAAAAAAAAGAAAGAAAAGAAGAAGCTGAACAGGCAACCATTGTGAAGATAAGATAACCTGGTTGTATGTGAGTTTTTTTTTTCTGTTTTCTTTTTTTTTTTGATTTAGAGACAATCATTTTACATGTCAACCCCCCTTCTCTCTCCCTCCTATCCACCCATGTCCCTTGCCAACCCTTCACAATCCACCCCCTACCAGCTCATCAAGGACGGTGTAGCCTTCCATGGGGGAGTCATCAAAGTCTGTCACATCATTTGGGGAAGGGCCTAGGCTCTCCTCCATGTATCTGGGCTGAACTAGTATCCCTCCATAGGGAATGGTCACCTGAAGTTCATATGTGCACTAGGGATAAATACTGGTTTCACTGTTAGAGGTCCCATAGACTGCCCAGGCCTTCTAACTGGCACCCACATTCAGAGGGCTTGACTTAGTCCAATGCTGGTTCCCCAGCTTTATGACTGGAGTCTGTATGCTCTCACTAGGTCAGGTCAGCTGGTTCTGTAGGTTTCTCCAGCACTATCTTGACTCCTTTGCTCATCCCTCCTCCCTCTCTACAACTGGATTCCAGGAGTTTGGCTCAGTGCTTAGCTGTGGGTACCTGCTTCTGCTTCCATCAGCTACTGGATGAAGGCTCTAGGATGGCAATTAAGGTAGTCATCAATTTGATTATAGGAGAAGGGCAGCAAAGAAGGCCTCTCCACTACTGCCTAGATTCTTAGTTAGGGTCATCTTTTTGGATCTCTGAACATTTCCCCAGTGCCAGTTTTCTCTTTAGACCTATACTGACTCCCTCTGTTAAGGTATCTCTTTTCTTGTTCTCAATTTCTCTCATCTCAGTCTTCCTGATACCCCTGGTTCTCCTCTCCCCTCCTCTTTTCCTCTTCTCTTTTTGTAGGTGAGATTTTTTTTTTAATGAGTATGTTGTTAGGAAAATTTAATTTATGACTTGGATAAGAAGGGACTTAGTACACCAATTAGCCACAGACTTAAGCCACAAAATAAAGACAGGATTATATTCAACAACTATCCATTTGTTCTGCCCAGATTCCCTACTGAGAAGGGCAAGACAGAACTACCTAAAGTGAATAGCAATGTCTGGAAACTGTGCCTGGGTTAACTGTTCTTCTATAACCTAAAACTGTCAGATATTTGCCAAGGTCTTCAACATAACCCCGATGACCTCAACCTTTGTGTAAGCTATGACATTTCTCATAATATTGCCAAAGTGGAGTAGCATGTGGTTTATGAAAAGGAATGGAAGTGTTGATGAACCGGAAGGAATCCACTTGTATGCGGCCTTCTTATTGCCTTTCCTTGCTGTTAGTTACCAACTCACCAGACAAGCGTTAGTGGGTCCAGAGGGAGCTCTATCTACATTCTGATTGACACTGAACAGGCACAAGGGATGATTAGGACCTTCAGATCAACTTGTTATCATGTAGATTGTGCCTTGAGAAAAACATCAATAGGATGTCTTAGAAAAATCAAAACAGGAATTGTAATCTATGTTGCCTCATCCAAGATAGTTGTGGAAGTGACTATTGATTTTTTTTTTTTTTTGAATGTGACAGATGTAGAGAATATCTACTATGACTCTGGAATCAGGAAAGAGGCTGTTAGAGTTAGAAAAGTTGCTAATATTAAAGAAAAAAACCTTGGCCAATGGGACTTTGGGGATCTGCTATTCTTCACTGAAGTGGAAAAAACCCCAACGATTCTTAAGACCTAGACTTAAGACCTGACAGCTGCCAACAGGTTCAACTGTAACTGCTCTTACCAAAATGGTTAATGAGGAGGCTGCTGTTTCCAGAAACCAGTGTTGTAAAGAATCACAATGACCACATTTGGAATGGGGTGAATATGCTTCTTCTTTCTTTGTTTCACAGATTGTTAGAAAAAAAAAAACCTACTTGAATGGGGAGAAAGGCACAGAAACTGTCTTCCTCAATTTTTAAAGTCTGTAATCAAAATGAACATCTTTATAGCAAGCTCTGTTCACAGCCCAGTTGGGGCCATGAAGAACACTGTGTTAATTAAGAAAGTTTGGAAAGCTAAAGGAGAAGGCAACAGATTAAGAATCACATCATAAAAATAATGATAAAATGTATTTTGTGCAACCTGCTGACATTTTAAATTTAATAGTATTTATGTCAGTGACATAAATAGTATTTACAAATAAACTGCTTTGGGCTTAGAAATTTTCATGTGGTCACGTCTTATATAGATACCCATTAGAACCGGGACTTCACAAAGTTATCTGATCTAAGCATTTTTTTCCCTTGCAACAGAAAAGTGCCTTCATCAATTAGTGCAGACTGTTATTGATTCTTCCAGGAAATCTTGCAACTTTTTGTTGGCAGTGTACTCCAAAATTTCAATATTAAGGCCAGGATTTTATTCCTTATGTCTAACAAAGTTCTCTTCTTGCTATTCTAATTTTAATATATTTCTTTTCATTGTTTCATTGGTCAGCATCAGGGATGTTTAGTTGGAGTTTTCATTCACTGTATCACTTTTTTTTAAATTAAATATCTTCATTTAATAGCTATTTCCTTTCCAGTCTGCAGGATCCCAGTACCACGTTGACTCATCTTTTCTCTAAATAATGGTTTTCCATATTATTTATTATATGTAACAATTTTTCAAGCTTTCACAGCTCCTCCCAAATCTCTTCATTCTGTGACTTTACAAAGACAAACATTGTTCCCAGCAAGTAGAGGGTTGCTTCTGAATCCTGCAAGTTACACTCCTTTTAATGTAACCAGTGTTGTGTTCTCCATCCATCTCCAATAACATTAACTTCAAAAACATTTGTTTAGCATTCACGTGAAGAGCCAGCTTGCAAAAGTATCAAAGAAGCTTGGATGATCATCAGGTCCCAACAGACACTTGGTAGGAACAGGCAACTGGGCTTGGGAGCCAGAGGGATAGACATAAGAAAGAGTTTAAAACTCAAATTTACATCTTCTCATGCAAGTTGGAAAGACAGTAAGAGTCTAAGGTGCTGTTCTTGCTTAACTTGCTGGCAAGAAATGCAGGAGGGAGAATAATATGACAGATGGAGCTTTGTCCTCAATCCTTTGATTATGAATAGGAACATTTACTCTCTGCTCTGAATCTGTGGAGTTTGCCCACAAATCTTCTTGTCCTACATCTGAGGGCCTTTACTTGGTCCAGCATGGCTGGATGCATTGCTTTTTGTTTATTAAAAATTTGGGGGACTATTTGCTTCTCTTCTTTGGATAACAGTAATGTGTTTTGTGGGTACTTTTATTCTTAAATTTTATCATCTTATAATTTTTAAATTCTGAATATAAAGTGCAAGCTTCTTTTATGTTAAGGATTCAATCCCCTCCCACCCCCCAGCACTAAGAGAAATAAGGGGCATGGGAAGTGATTTTTTTTGGCAAGGAAAAGGTGATAATTAATAAAATTATGGCCATGAAGAGTGACTCTAGTTCTGTGTGGTGGGTGTTACAAACCCCTTGCATATATTTCTAACTGTACCCTTAGAAATAGTTAAAATGAGATTATTAACTATTATTGTTATCTGCAAATAACATATGAATATTGCCTTAAGTTCAGTAGAAAAGGCTCAAACGTCCTCAAGGCTCTCTTGAAAGAAAAATGACCAGAAACAAACAAACCAACAACTAACTACAATAGGAATGCCTGCCTCACATGGAAATGTGTATGCTTCTGAGGTTTCATGGTGGATTTCATTTGGTACACTGTTTTGTTTTGTCTTATTTATTTTGCATTCTCAGTCTCATTTGCTTAGAATGATGGACTTTGATAAGAAAATTCTCTTTGTGCTTGCTTCTGCAACACATATACTAAAATTGGAATAATACAGAGATTAGCATGGACCATGTTCAAGCATGCATGCAAATTTTTGAGCCTTCCATATTTTTTTTAAAAAAGAAAATTCTTCTCTAGCAAATAAAGATGAAGAGCATATGAACTGAAAAGAAATGTTCACTATGACACATTACTAGTAACACGAAAATCTGTTAATTCACTCACTGAAAATGATCTCTTTTATCTCTTCTACTTTCTAAAAGTTAAAGGACTGAGCCAATCATCATTTATATTTGTATTTTGAGAAACTGGTCTTATCACAAAAAGAGAGAAAGCATTTCTTTTGTACTATTGGGGCAATCTCAACATTATTTTGAAATTGTAGATTGAGCTAGAAAGGCCATTCAGGGTTACACCAACCAAATAAGTTCATCATTATCATATTCAGATGACATATTCACTAATTCAAATGTAATTATTTCTTTTTAAATGGCATTAATTGTTCTGCACTGACACTGTCAATGACGAATGTAGAAAGGGACAGGCAAGTGGATGGTTATTCTGTGAAGAGTTGAGCCCTGGTCATGTAGCAAGAGGTGTGTAACTATTGTATTTGCTCTTCAAGATGGTGTTGCTAGAACCTGGAAGGTCATTGTTCATCTATCCCTTTTTAATGTTTCAAAGACATAAATTGGTCTTTGGTAATGCTGGCCTTGTTCTTCAACCAGGAGACCTTAGAATTTTAGGATTGGAAAGTCAGACCCTATGACTGGTGAAGACATTAGTAACCAAATAGTCTTATGGAGAAAGCCATTGAGACCAGGAAAAAGGCAAATGACTTTTCCAGAGTCCCAGCAGGAAACAGTAGAAAGAGACATGGGATTCTGGTCTCTTGGCATTTAGTTAAGAGCTGGCTTTCTTCTGCAAAGAGGCTTGAAAGTCTCATCTCGGTTGACCTAGAGATAAATATGTTTATGGAGATGAGTAAAAAAATGCCAATTCTATTTACAAAGTATTTCCCTTTATGAGGGTTTTTCAACATAAGTAAGTCTTACTTCTAAAGTCTCCTTTAAATAACATGCCATCTCAATTACTCCTTGTTCTGCTTCCCAAACTTTGTCATACTATTGTGGCTTTTTTTTTGTATTTTTGTTTTTCTTTTTTAGATTTTATTTTTTAGTTTATATCCCAGTGCAGTTTCCATCCTTGCTCTCCTCCTGGTCCCATACCCCCCAAACCCACACCTCTGTTCCCACTCCCAAGCCACTCTTTCTCCATTTCTGTTCGGGAAAGAGCAGGTCTCTCATGAGTATCAACAAAACATGGCATATCAAGTTACTGTAAGACTAAACACCTCCTCGTCTCTTAAGGCTCAGCTAGGTAATACACTATGAGGAGTACGGTCCCAAAAGCCAGTAAAAGATTCAGAGACAGCCTGTGCTCCCACTGTTAGGAGTGTCACGAGAGGCACTCCTGTAACATATATGCAGAATTACTAGACCAGTTCCCTGAAGGTTGCCTGATTGTTGGTTGTCTCTGTTGGCCCAATGGACGCAGGTTAGTGGGTTCTGTGAATTTTCTTGTGGTGTACTTGACCCCTCTGGCTCCTAACATCTTTCCTCTACCTCCTTTGTAGGATTTCTGAGCTCCACCTAATGTGTAGCTGTGGGTCTGTATCTGTTTACCTCTGTTGCTGAATGAAGTCTCTCTGATGGCAATTGGGCTAGGCAACAATATGTGAAATATAGCAGAATATAATTAGGCATCATTACATTGACAACATTTTTTCCTCCAGTTGTGTTTGGTTCTAGTCTAGGTCTCTGCTCTAGGCAGTGTCAGGGCTGGGCTTACTTTCCTGGTATGGGTTTTAGAGTGGTTGGCCACTCCCTCAAGCTCTAGGCCACCCTTACCCCAGCAATCCTCTAGACAGAACAGACTGTAGGGTAATGGTTATGTGGCTGAGTTGGTTTCCCACATCCTCCACTTGAAGTATTGCCTGGTCACAGCCAGTTCAGCTATGTATCAGCTATTGCTAAGAATTATAGCTGGGGTCGCCTTTGTAGATTCCTAGGTGATTTCTTTGAGCCAGGTTTTTACCTGACACTGAAATGCTCCCGTGCCCCCCCACGCACTTTCCAGTAGTCTGTCTCAGCACTCTCCCACCTCCCGAAATACTGCTGTTTAATGTTAGCAATTATTAGTCGTTGTTATTTACTTATTTATTGTTTCATTCTATATCTCTGTATATCAAATCCTGGGTCTCATGTTTTTCTGGTAAGCATTCTACTACAGCTGATAGATATATCCATGCAGCCCTGTCAGTTATTTTTGATATACACAATTTATTTATGCCAACGTAATTTAGTGTTACAGGGTATGGGACATTTGCCCATCTTAAGGGTTTTATTGTCTAAACAGTATCAATTATGGAAGAATACAAAAATAGATTCACAGTGTCTATGTTAAATGAAAGGCTCACTGGTAAACCAAAAAAAAAAAGATTCTATCATTTAAAGATTATAAAAAAACCTTAATAACCTTTGTCCTAGTTGGCTTTTATAGTCAAGTTAGTATAGCCTAGAGTCATCTGAGAAGGGAGTCTTAATTGAATGATTTCCTTGATCATATTGGTCTGTGGGGGATGGCTTTGATTATTGTCTGGTGCAGGAGGGCGAACTCCACTGTGGGCAGCCCATTCCCTATGCAGGTGGTTCTTGAGTATGCAAGAACACTAGTTAAGCATGATCCAGAAAGCAGAGTTTATGCTCCTGACTGATACCTGCTCTGACATCCTGCAACGGTCTGTGACCTGTAAGAGTAAGACCAAGAAATTTCCCCTCTAAATTTCTTTGATTGGAGTGTTTCTATCACAGCACCTGAAGTGTAACTTTAAAGTGAAATAATTTGTGTGAGTGTAGGAATATGATTTAGATTGCAACACTTCAATGCTTGCTAGAATGTGAAAGGCTCTGGGTGCAATTTCCAGCATTGTGAAACAAAATAAAACAACAACACAAAGAAAAGTGGAAATTATCTGTGCAATCAGTTTTGGCTTTGATTAAATATTGTTGTATTTTTAGGTAGTTGGTAATAAGCCACTTCATTCTTAATTGCTTTTAACTCAATCCCTCAGTACTTTTCCTTACATGCTCCAGATATCTCCATGTTTACAGAAAACAAAAGGTTAATGTCAGGCACCAGAGTTTTCTGAAAACCCTACATTTCACCAGGGCTCCTGGTGGAAAAACTTACTGGATTGTAAATATTTTGGGCAAGTTGACCAAAACTATCTCTTGTAAATAGCACGAATATTTCTGTAGAAAAGCCGAGTCTGACCACTGGATAAATATTTTAGTTTCTCAGCCACTGTGATTTGCAAAGTGCTAGTGTATCCTGGGTGACTGAGTAAATGGCTCCTCAAGCACCTCTATGCCCATCATGCAACACAGCCATTAACAGTCTGTGCACAGCTCTGGCCAAGTTTAGTAACATTTTCCTAACTTTCAAATCCCAGGAACATTTCCCTGTGCTCTTCTTCACTTCTTTTTTTTTTTTTCTGAGATATTTGACACAATTGACTGATCCTTACTTTGAAACTTTTGTTTTGTTTTGTTTTTTGTTTTTGGAAACTTACCCTGGTAACTCAGAAGTCATTGCTTTAGTCTTTTCCCTAGTGAATGTTGTTACTCATTACCCTTAATTTCACTCTTTTATTTTATTATCTTCTTAAGCCCGATGCCTTTCAGATTCTGTTCCTCTCCTTGTTTACAGGATGACAGACTTGTACCCACCTCTGTGATATTCCCACAGCTGCCAGCTGACCACTGCCCTAGCTGTACCTGTTGCTCAAGTCTCTCCTCCATTTTCCTCCTTCATCCCTTCAGCTTTCTCAAACTGAATGAGTTCTTCACCACACCATCCATCTCCAACAAATCTTGAAGAAATGAGAGGTTATGTCCCTCAAATGGATGCCTTCGCTTTGGCTAGGTTGTCCCACTGGAATTGTTAGTTTAGGCCTTAATCTTTCTTTTCAACTCTTTCATTCCAGTAAGCTTCAAACAAAAACACAGTGTATTTGCCTGCAAGACGTGGGCCTTTGTCATCTCTGTTCCTAGTTCTCACGGCATCTGCTGTGTGGGGTACCACATACAATGATTGAAGACCGCACTGCTAGATGTTCATCTTTCTTTTGCATTTGACTTCAATGTTTTCGTGGTTAATCTCTTATCACTTGACACGTGAGAATCAGGCTCATGATCTCCGAAATGTGGGTGGTCAGTGCATGTTCAGTGTGGGCAGCCTAAAAGCAAGTTTGGCCCATGGTGAGCATCTTGCTGTAAATGGCCAGCTTTGAAAAAGTTCCTCTGGGAATCGAATCAATCTTTGTGAGTAGGGACATCTTGCACTGCTGCTTTCCAGGAAGCTGCCAGACGGCGCACAAAAAAGCATCCTCATTTAAAACCCTTTGAGAGGTGTCCTGGGAAAAATGTGGGAAGGCACTCACACCAGAACGGCAAGTAAAACGGTGGCTAGGGGAAGGGCATCGTTTTACTCACCTATTCCAAACTGGTCCTTGCGCTAACGTCTGAGCAAGACTGACTTACTGGCTAATATTAGCTCTTAAACCTCTGGCTGTTAACTCCTAAGAGACATCTGCAGTCAGCAGGCTACCAGCAAACCTCTTAGCCTTTAGGAGATGTCATAGAGATAGTGTCGTGTTGCTCATATGATTTTCATTAAAGAAAGAGTAGTGGATGGCAGCAAAGTAGTTCTCAAACGTAACCAAGTTTTGGATGATAAATGGCCCGTCTGTGAGAGCTTATGAAAACAATGAGGGACAGTGAAGGGAGAACAAAGGTCCCAGTATTTCCTTCACTAAGGTTTTCCTGACTCTTCTCCAGTCCTTCATGTGACCACATCAAAGCAACTTTGGATGCTAGCAAAAGTTGGAAGTAAGATAATTTCATCTTTTCTAGGAATTTTCCTGGAATTGGGAAGATCAAGGCACACTAATAATATCAAGACTTCCAGTTTGGGGACTTAATTACCATAAAGGGAAATGGGTAAAATGTTCAAAGACGTGTCTTCCAGGGCATAGGAGAGTATAAATACTC